TCGACCGCAGAAAACCTCATTTTATGAGGAATAACGCCTTTTTTCAAAAGTGCTCTTTTGAAAAAAGGCGCTATCTAATGCAAACTGTGCTTTTTCGAAAGAGAGCATCCAGACTAGCAACTTGCTTTTTTGAAAGCACTGGCTGTAGTCTAGATGCAATTTTTCGAAAGAGGCTGTTTCGAAAGTATGTTTCGAAAAAGCCTCTTTCAAAAAAGGTGTGTAGTCTAGGGTATGTCTACACTGCAGAGTTTTTTCGCAAAAACGACCGTTTTTCCAACAAAACTTCGCTCACGTTCACACTGCAATCGCATTCTTTCACTCCTGACATATCTGGTTACCGCCCCTTCCCTCATGTTGTCAATTTAGACACCAGGTCGGTGTGCTCTTGTCATCGGGGGGCGGGGGTGTTGGTACCAAGATGTTCCTTAATGAGATCTTCTCTTACGACCCCTCTGGAGCGTGCTCACAGCCTGCACCTCGTACGTCATAGGCAGGAGTGGTTCTGTAAGCTCAGCCCTGGTCTGGCCAGCTTCTGTGAGCAGGGCCTGCCTCTTCTCACAGCTTCACTCTGCTTTATGTCAGCAAAGTCTTGCCCATTGCTGCCTAGGCCTCGGGCCTCACGCCTGGCCTGTGATACGTGGGCTTCTGTTTCAGGCCCTCGTGATACTATGCTGCTGAGAGCTTGAAGGAAAGCAGCCGGTGACTCGGCCTGTTTCTTGCTGGAGAACCAGGATTTGAATCCAGCCCCCGTCACTTGTGCAAAGACTTGGGCTGGGTCACTTCTTGGCCCGCTTTGGCTAGGGCATTGCATGGCTCCTCTGTCCCGGAAGCCCTGTGCGGGAGGTGTAAGGATGTTCAAGCCAGGGCTAAGTGCTTTGTTGGGTAGGGAGCTTGGAACTGGGTTACTGGGTGTTGCAAGACAGGAGTGTGTGGCAGTGGCAGAGATCTGCAAAGGACCCAGGACCGGGCTGGCAGGTGGGCAGGTTTTTGGCAAGCCAAGAACAGTTCCTCCCAGCAGTGCTGGGTTTCATGGGGCTGCCCTGCTTTGACCCCACAACCCTCTGTCCTGGTTGGAGGGACCTCGCACCCAAGACCACAGCACACTCAGGCCGGGCCTGTCTCCATCGCCATGAGTGGCACGGCATCATGCGGGAGCTGTGTGAGGTGTTGGGAGGGACGAGAAAAGGTGCCGCCAGAGAAGCATGGTGGGGTGGGAGGCTCCATACCTCTAGCACAAAGTTTCTCAACCTTTTTTATAAAATACCCCTTTAAAAAAATAAGTACCCCCAGTACCTACAATTTTCAGACACACACAATTTGTTTCCACCATAGCAACACGTTTGTTTAAACAACTTACTCGTAGCCGGGCGGGCAATGAAATTTTTGGGTGTAAAAAGTACAAAAATAATATAAAGCACTGTAAAACTTCACACAAAAATTCAGTTTTCTCCAAATTTCAGTTGCGTTGACGTACCCCCCAGACTTCTCTTGGGTACCCCTAAGGGAACTCGTACCGCTGGTTGAGAAACACTGCTTGAGCCGACGGTGCACTATCAGTCAGAATTCAGGTGCACTGGCTGGTGGGTGACTTCCAGCAATTGCTGCTGCTGTGTGCTCTGAGCACAGTAAAATCCATCCTGTTCCCCTACAGCCGCGCTAAACCAGAAATGGAGAACTAGCGTCCATTAGCTCTTACAGCCCCTTTCATCTGATGATCTCACAGTGCTTTACAAAGCACGGTCGGTAACATTAGCCTCGCTTTACTGGTGGGGAGACTGAGGCACAGAAGGTCTCCAAGTCACCTGGCACATCACATCACAGCCTGGCTCCCAGCCCGGGGCCCTAGAGATCTAGCGACCAGCGCTGAAGACACTGTGGGTAGAACTGTAGTCGGTGCGCACTAGGGCTGTGTCTACACTGGCCACTTAGTCCGGAAAATCAGCCGCTTTTCCGGAATCACTTGCCAGCTGTCTACACTGGCCCCTTGAATTTCCAGAAAAGCACTGACGATCTAATGTAAAATCATCAGTGTTTTTCCGGAAAAACTATGCTGCTCCCGTTCAGGGAAAAGTCCTTTTCCGGAAAACTGTTCCGGAAAAGGGCCAGTGTAGACAGCCCAGATTTCTTTTCCGCAAAAAAGCCCTGATCGCAAAAATGGTGAGCGGGGCTTTTTTGCGGAAAAGCGTGTCTACATTGGCATGGACGCTTTTCCGCAAAAAGTGCTTTTCCGGAAAAGCATCCTGCCGATGTAGATGCGCTTTTTCCGAAAATGCTTATAACGGAAAAGTTTTCCATTTTAAGCATTTCCGGAAAAGGGTGCCAGTATAGCCCAGATATCTCTTGTCAGAGCTTGGAGAAGTGCTTCCCAAGGAGGCTTCCTGCTGTGGGCACAAAGGACACGCTCTGCTTCCCCTGTGCCTGGTGAGGTCTTGGGCCATTAAAGCAGACATCATGGAAGACTCCTTTAAAAATAAGCTGGTTCTGGCCAGGGGCGAGATGGCTGAGCTCTGTGCACACGGCAGACAGCCTCCTTGGAAAGCTCTTCTCCAGGCTTTAATGAGAGACATCTAGTGCCGATAGAATTGCACCGAACCTCGTCAGATTTCTTTTGGCCCAAGTGCACTGGAGCTGGAAGAATCCCAAGCACCACTACAGGCTGGCTACAGTTCTACCAGCAGGACCCATCCCAACTCAAGCATCCCAGCCAGGGCTTTGTCAAGCTGGGACTTAAAAACCACATTCCTAGGCAACCCATCCCAGCGCTTCCCCACGCTCCCAGGGAAATCGTTTTTCCTAATAGCCAGCCTAGACCTCCCCCCCTGCAACTTGAAACCATCGCTCCTCGTTCTGTCATCTGCCACCACCGAGAACAGCCTCTATCCAGCCTCCTTGGAACCCCCCTGCAGGTAGATAGAGGCTGCTCTCAAATCCCCCCTCACTCTTCTCTCCTGTGAACTAAATGAGGCCAAATCTCTCAGCCTCTCCTCGTAGGTCATGTGCTCTGCATCCGTTCTGTAATGGGCCCCCCAGAATTGGACACAATACTCCAGATGTCGCCCCCCAGAATTGGACACACTACTCCAGATGTCGCCCCCCAGAACTGGAGACAATACTCCAGATGTGGCCTCACCAGAGCTGAATAAAGGGGAATAATCACTTCTCTAGATCTGGTGACAGTGCTCCTCCTAATGCACCCTACTATGTTGTTAGCCTTCTTGGCTACAAGGGCACACTGGTGACTCATCTCCAGCTTCTCATCCACTGCAATCCCCAGGTGCTTTTCTGCAGAACTGCTGCTTAGCCAGTTGGCCCCCAGCCTGTAACAATGCTCGGGATTCTTCCGTCCCAAGCGCAGAACGCTGCTCTTGTCCTTGTTGAAACAAAAGACAGGACTACACAGCACTTGAAAGACTAACAAGATGGTTTATTAGGTGATGAGCTTTCGTGGGCCAGACCCACTTCCTCAGATCAAATTGTGGAAGAAAATTGGCACGACCATATATACCAAAGTGATACAATCAAAAAAAAGTGAACACAGATGAAATTGACAAGGGCAGAGTCCTGCACTTAGGACGGAAGAATCCCAAGCATTGTTCACTTTTTTTGATTGTATCCTTTGGTATAGATGGTCGTGCCTATTTTCTTCCACAATTTGATCTGAGGAAGTGGGTCTGGCCCACGAAAGCTCATCACCTAATAAACCATCTTGTTAGTCTTTCAAGTGCTGCATAGTCCTGTCTTTTGTTTCAGCTGCACCAGACTAACACGGCTGCATCTCTATCACTTGTCCTTGTAGAACCTCATCAGATTTCTTTTGGCCAATTTGTTGAGGTCACTCTGGACCCTGTCCTCCAACATATCTACCTATCCCCCTCGCTAAGTGTCATCCACAAACTTGCTGAGGGTGCAATCCATCCCCTCCTCCAGGTCATTAATAAGGATGTTGTACAAAATTGGCCCCAGAACAGACCCTTAGGGCACCCTGCTTGATACCAACCACCAGCCAGCCATCAAGCCATTGATCACTACCTGCTGGGCCCGACAGTGTAGCCAGCTTTCTATCCACCTTACCATCTGTGACGTAGTGGGGGTACTGTGCTGGTTGCTATGCTGGGCAGTGGGTTGTAAGTGATCTCCGCTGTCTGCAGCACGGCCCAGCCGGGTAGGGGATGAGTCATTATGCAAGGGGGCTTCTGTACCTGTCTGACAAGTTCTTCCCCAGGGAGCGGAACAATGAGAAGGAGGGGAGTGGAGCCCTGGCTGGGAGCAGGGCTGGAAGGGAGTTAGTTAGTTTCTGTCTGGGAGCATGGAGGAGACAGCCTAGGGAAAGGGGCTGGAATTTAGGGGCTCAGTCTCCCCCATCTCAAGGGGGCTGAGGCATCCTAGGCCTGCCCTGTAACCAGATTACATCTGTGCTGTGCTGTATCCTGGAGAAGCAATAAACACCCTCTATTCTACTGGCTGGTGGAGTCTGTTCGTGCCATTACGGGGGTGCAGGAGACGGGAAAACCCCAAACGCGCTGTCACACCATCCATGCATCCAATCCATTCTTCCCTAACTTGCTGGCAAGAATCCTGTGGGAGACGGTATCAAAAGCTTTGCGAAGGTCGAGGTCTGTCACATCCACTGCCTTCCCCATGTCCCCAGAGCCAGTTATCTCATCATAGAAGGCCATCAGGTTGGTCAGGCGTACTGGAGGGATGATGGGGAGCAGTTTGGGCTTTGTTCATATTTTCTCCAGTGGCTTTGAGCCTCGTGGCTGGGAGCTGGTACGTTAAAGGCAGGCGTTCAGAAGGGTTAACTGTCACTGCTGCGTGGAACCATTCGGGAGTCCAGTGTGTCCATCCGGGGGCCCGTCAGCAAGAGGAGGGCATAGAACACCCCTTGGCATCTGGGCAGTAACCCCAGACAGCACCTAGAGAGCATACCTGTCATGACGCGGTAGGGAGGACATCCCCAGCCTCCGGCTAATCCCTTCCCCCGTCATCTTCTTTTCCAGCCTTCCCAAAGCTCCTCCGACTACCTCCTGCGCTGCTCCGCTCCTCCCCACGGCCCCCCGCGACCATGAGAGCCGTCTGTCTCGTCCTGCTGTGTCTGCCAGGTGAGTGCACGGCCTCCCGGCGCCCTGCCAGCACCCACTGCAGGCACGGAGGGCAGGGAGCTCAGACCCTGGCACCATAAGGTTTGATTGGCAGAGGTGTCGCACAGGCCTGTCGCACAAACCGCGCAGCAGCCTGGCGCTCGGGCTGCGCCTTGGTCAAGCCGCCGGAGATCGGCCTTCACCTCCAGCTCCCGGCGCTCCCCTGATCCTGCCGGGCAGCGCCCTGCTGGGACCTCGCCCCCAGGCCAGGGCCAACCAGCTCACACGCAGGAGCTCTGGTGGGAAGCAGGAGCCACCGTGCGTTTGCCCGGCTGCCCAGTGGCCACCGTCTGAGACTCTCCCAGCTGTTTTGTTGGTGGGAGGGGGAGGAGATGCTGCTCAGACCAGGCCCTGCCTGTTCCATGTCCCACCATAAAAGGCCAGTGGCAGGGGCCCTGCCCGGTCGATGGTGGC